ATGCCCGGGACCTGGTAAATTTGCCAGCTGGCATGTGAAAATTCTCAAATTACATGTCCGAAGGGCATATGTGTGAATTTTCTTTCGATTCGCAATGTTTACTTGCTTTTTCTTTTGTCGTACCCCAGTTACTCGCGTAAACTTGCTATGTAATGTCTTAATATGAATTGCCAGTTTACATTCGTCTTACGTAACATTATCAGTAAGATCTGTCAAATGATTGTCAATCGTAATCATTAAAGTGTTTAATTTAACAGATTTGTTTTCTCGATGTTTCTTGCTAAATTACGATATGTTTATTGATACCACGTGCAGTGGACTGCTGGACATGATAACATCATCCTATTTCTGAAATTCAGTTCAGCTATACCGGCCAACAAACGACCAGCATGCGAGTCAAAAGTTGTGAACAAAAACACATACAAAAATGGCAGACAGGCAGTTCACGGTTGAATTAAAACTCTGGAAACAATTTAAACTTAAGATCGAGAATTTTTTTAAAAAGAAACATTGTCCTTATAGTTAATATAAAAACTTTATTTTTTGTTGTACAATCATATCTCTGCTATATGAATTAATTTTGAGTTGGGCATGTACAAATTTCAATGGGCTGGGTAAAATTGACTGGTATACATGCCAAAAGGGCATGTGCTGAAAAAGAATTGTTGTGAAGACTGCCATATACATGTAAATTACACTGAAATCAGTTTTTCAATTTTATTAATTTTAAGGCACTAAAATGACCATAATATTAATATGCAATGCTATTGTAATGGAAGAGGAGAAAATGCAGCAGACCAGGCCCAGGTTCGAATCCCTGTCTGGTCTGCTGCATTTTTCTCCTCTCCTGTTCCACAATTATTCATAAATGATAAATAAGTTTACCTGTCAACCACATAATACATGACAGGATTCCGTCAATAATAACGAGACTGATGAAGACGTTGGTGTATCTAAGTACAGGTAATGTGTATCTGTGTTTCCCTAGCAATGCTTTATCTTCATCATTCTCCTCCATCTCGGAAACACTATTCACTGTACCGTTCACTTTGGCCATGGCTCTTCTTCTGTAACAATCAATTCGACAATATCATAATCATTTGGCAGGAAAGAAGTATTCATGCGGACAAGTTACACCTATATTAATGCTAACTTCGTAACAATTCTTTTTTCTTCAACCCAATCGCTTCTGTCGCGACAAACCCAGGATTTAGAACATTGCAGTGCGTCTGTACGCTTACGCAATCACACGTGAATATTGGGTACAAAACTTGCTGTTCATTCATATTCTCATAAAATATTGTAGAAGAAGATATTAGATTATATTTAATATTAGATTATATTCCTTACCATGCACTCTTCCCAAAAAGTATCTTAGATAAAATCAAAATCAATGCATCTAGACCTTGACAGTTGTCTGAATCTAAAAATCTTTGCGTCTGCTATTGATCGATCAATGTCACAATAACGCTTTATTTTTTTTTTTTTGCGGTATCATAGTATGGAGGAGCGTTTGTGCCATTCGTAAAAAAAAAAGTAGTTAAATCCAGGACATCATGACGAAAACGTGGATAACACAGAAATAAATAGATGCATGCCCGTGGTACTGAGAGATGGAGGGGTGCCCTTTTTGCCACTTTGTCAGGCATGCAGAGATCAACGGATATTTTTTTTCGAAAGGACTCATTTGGGGGGGGGGCACTCAAATTAAATGACTTTCGGGATTAAAAAATAAAAACAGTAAAAATCTGTGAATAGGGCAGAATAGAACAAACATTTAGAAATCTCTGCAGAGATTTGACTGTATAATGAGGAGTAAGTCACATTCCCCTGCTTTACTTGAGCAGGTAGTCAAAATTAGTATAAAGGAAATATATAATTGATTTAATGGTATGAATTAATCATGTTCAGTAAGTATATTCCATCGATAAGTTGTATTTACAAAGATAGCATTAATCAGTTAATCATAACATGAACGAGAGTAGGATTGACACTTCTACGTTTAAACTGAATTGGTGAAATACTTGTAACATCAACTTATAAATCTGTCAATAGCTTGGCCCGGTTTAAAACATAGGTGCTTGTGGAAACCCCCCTCAATGAAATTTAGGGAACCCCGGGGCTAGTCGGACATTTTTATCCTCAAAACTCAAAAATTATTTTTGGGTTTTTACGATTTTTTCCCTATTTTACACATGATGAAGTGTAATAAATATAATTTGTGAAAAAATGTCCAACTAGCCCTGGGTTGAATGTCGGGTGGGGGGTCCTGTCCACAAGCACCTGTTGGTTTATAAAGTTGACCGTTTTTAGAGCATCTTCTTGATATATGTAATCAGTTGCAAGACATTTTCACCGTATGCAAGTGCTACTGGAATATTTCTACAAGAAGAAGTTGGTAGAAAAGCTGAAGTCACCCCTTTTGTTTACAGTTATATACTGCTTAGTTATTAGCTGCTCATTATATAGTCTTAGACAATAAAGCATCCGAATATAAAACAAATGTTGAAGACATCACAATGTCTTTATTTTTGAGTTCAATTGGATATATCAAGTTCTTGGGGGGAAAAAAAACTTTATATTTAAGGCCACAGGAAGAGGGGTTCTCTTTCCTTATGAAGAAGTCGTTTTTTAAATATATATTTTGCTTCTGGTCATAAGATTATAAAAGTAGGTCGGCTATTGAATGAGCACAATTACTGCCCCTCGAAATTTAAACATACTCTCGAAATTAAAACATACTGTTAAAAGATATTGTGGATGAAAAATCTAAATGAAACATCAACTTCAGGGTACTTGTATGCAGAATCAGGATGATTTTTAACAAATAAGTTTAGATGACCAAGTACAAGATATGAATTAATAGTTTAAAGGGTCCATTTTTAATGAGGGAGATGTGGACTATGTCAAATTAAAGGCCTGCTCCTTAAAAATCGTCAGGGATGATTTGTATTATGCAAAGAAAATTCATGTGTTGATGCTTTTAATGTTTGAAGTGTTAAGACTTTAAATATTACGAAAAGTTCTTTTTAATAATTCACATTTTATTTACCCCACTTGCGTTCTCTTTCAGAGACAATATTTTAATTAATGAACAATTACCGGACCCTGCTATAAATATTTGTTTGTGATTTGTTTTTTATGGAGTTTTGGAATCCAACAAAGTTACGGTAAATCAAATTCACTTTCATTGATTGAATGGTAGATGTTTATAATTTTGAAATCCCGAATTATATCCCCCCTTAAAATACCCTATAGATCTGCGCTTGTATGAACTTAACAATAAAAAACAAACATTAAATATACGGTGTACATTACACAGACATTACAATCAACTAAATTTATTACAAATTACGATGCTGTAAAAGAAAAAAAAAAGACCAGGGTTAAAAACTGCCTTGAAAGGGATATTTTAACGTTAAATACGAACTTTATGTAGAGACCATCGGAGCGGAATTCGATCCCCTAGTCGTTGAAAGTTAAGTCGCATTCTTGTATTGTTATCATGTGAATTTAGATGGATTTTTTCAGGCAAAGACTTTTTTACCCCCAACTTTTGTATTTTGCCAAGTTTTTGTTCACCGATATACCGGTATTTTTCTTCAAATTAGCATGAATATTTTATTGTACACTGCTTTCGCGAATTAAAGCAAGGAGACATTAAATCTCATTGTCTGTCCGTTTATCACAAAATGTTTCACCTTGGTCATATTTTTTGAATGAGAAAAAATAGGACTCTAATATTACACAGTCGTACCGGTATAACCTGTGACAATACCTTTCTAAATTCACAATGATTTTTGACATTGTGACCCACTTTTCAAAAACTTTTAACCTTGGTCATAATTTTGAAAGAGTAGAGTGCATTTACATATATATTACCTGTGACAAAATCTTTTGAGCATGCTATGCTTTCTGACCATGTGACCTTGAATCTTGACCTACTTTTTAAATTGTTTTCCCTTATAACTTTTGATTGAGAAGAGATAGGGCTTTCATATTTGACATATGACCCATGACCTTGACCTACATATTTGACCTTATTTTAAATAAAAAGATCGACATGGATGATAGCTTTTGAATGACATATGATAGGGCATACTTTTGCAATTTAGTGGAATATAGCTACTCAGTATGTATGTGTGTGGACATGTATATATATACGTGTATGTATGTATGTGTTGGTATGTATAAAAAAAAATATATATATATATATTTTTCATTTCTGTGTATGTATATCTCTGGCTTTTTTGCATTATGGTACACGGTGGTACTTCTTTATATATTTTTAATTACAATATGTATTTAAAGTTCACATGTTAGCAATTATTTCAACTTATGAACCATGTGTAAATTATTAAGTACATGTATATACATGTACTAAGAACAAATCACATCTTATTAATAACTATTATATGCTCTGTTTAATAATCATGTATGTAATATGCCCACAAGGGCCCTGATCTGGAATAAATCTATTCTATTCTATTCTATTCATACTTGACACAATATGCTACAGACCCACAAAGACATCGAAGGCGGAGCACCACAATTCTTTGAATTTGTTTGTTGAAGTTAAAAAATTCATACATGTACGAAAAGTTGTCAAATTTACACTTTGGGTCTATTTTCAACATTATTTCTTGCAACTATCACCTCAATCAATGCCATTTAGAAAAATTCTCCTGAAACCACTACTGTAGAGTTGTTTTTTGAATCCTTAGTACATTACTGGAGAGGTAGTGATTCAACATCTGGGCAGCTTTCTTCTCTAGTGAGATATGCTAACAAGGGCATTGCAAAGCAGATCATCCCTTCACATAGAGCATATCTAACAGCGTTTAACATTGATCCCCATGCAGATTACATCACTTGTGTTTTGCAAGAGATATTTAACACTCACACACTAATACACACAAATGTCTTTCTTTATCCCCTTCAAATCCATCGCAAGGAAGTGATGATTTTTATTAGGTAACAGAGTTAATGAAGATTGTATTTTATATTTTTTTTTTAATTAAACTTCACTCTTAGCATGTTCATGCCTGAAGAGCAGAAATGAAATTGAACACAACTTAAAAAGATTTATATGTCTCTCCTTCTAATTACAAGACATTGTTAAATTGTTTTAGAGGTCCTACACATAACTGATGGTCATTTACACACTTGCTGTCCTTCAGACCCTTTACACATTAGCACCCAGCAAACACCACAGAATGTTACAAATACCACTACACCTCACAACTACTGCTGCGATTGCGGAATGGACACAGTTGGCTCCCCTGCCACATGTATCTTGTAAAGAAAAGAAAAACGTAGAAAACATACATGTGGATTTGTGTAAATAAATACAACTTTATTTTTCTCTCTCATAAGCATGCATTCATTCTATGACACAGACAGACATATGACAATTTGTGTAAGGAACATTACAGAAGTCAGTAAGCTAAATTTATGTACAGAACAAAGAGATAGAGAGTCACTAGGATACCACTTTTCCAGTGTCTTCTTTGCCTTGGTATCTTTTCTTTCCATGCGAAAATGGTATATAACGGTACTTAATCATATGCTGAAAAGAAATAAAAAAACTTAAATATTATAACAGCAGTGTACAGTAACATATTTAAATGGAGTTATACATTGTACATTTCTTCTCCTTTCCAAAGCAATTTACAATGAATATTGTCACAGACAAAACTAAATCTTGTATCATGCTATATTATTTTGAGAGTACCCTTAGAACAAGGTGTATTGTTATACCTTTAAAAATTTGTTCTTATACAATACTATACAAAACAAGAGGCCCAGGGGCCACAGTGCTCACCTGAGAACATCGTCAAGGAAAAAGCACATATCAGATCAGAAGTGAAAGTTTACTGAGGTGGGGGGGGGGGGGGGGCTTGAATTTTAACCCCCAGGGGGTCATGATTTGAACAAACTAGAATCTACACTACCTGAGGATGATTCCATATAAATATCACTAATCATGGCTTTGAAGTACTTGAAAAAAAGATTTTAAAAGGTTTCCCTATTTAATTCCTATATAAAACTTTGGTCGGCCATTTTGGCCCCACCCTGGCCCCGAGGGTCATGATTTGAACAAATTTGAATCTACACTACCTGAGGATGATTCCACGTTAGTTTCATCTTTCCTGGCCCAGTGGTTCTTGAGAAGAAGATTTTTAAAGATTTTTCATATATGTTCCTTTGTAAAACTTTGATCGGCCATTATGGCCCTATCCTAGCTCCAGGGATCATGATTTGAACGAATTTGAATCTACACTACTTAAGGATGATTTCACATGAGTTTTATCTTTTCTGTCTAAATGGTTCTTGAGAAGAAGATTTTTAAAGATTTTCCCTATATATTCCTATGTAAAACTTTGATCGGCCATTTTGGCCCCACCCTACCCCCAGGGGTCATGATTTGAACAAACTTGAATATACACTACCTGAGGATGATTCCACATGAGTTTCATCTTTCCAGGCCCAGCGGTTCTTGAGAAGAAGATTTTTAAAGATTTTTATTTTATACTCCATTGTAAAACTTTGATTGGCCATTTTGGCCCCATCCTACCCCCAGGGGTCATGATTTGAAAAAAATTTGAATCTACACTACCTGAGGATGATTCCACAAGAGTTTCATCTTTCCTGGCCCATCGGTTCTTGAGAAGAAGATTTTTTAAAAATGACATTAATTTTTCTCTAATTCATAATTATCTCCCCTTGGAAAAGGGCATGGCCCTTCATTTGAACAAACTTTGATCCCCTTTACCCAAGGATACTTTGTAGCAAACTTGGTTGAAATTGGCCCAGTAGTTGTTGAGAAGAAGATGAAAATGTGAAAAGTTTACAACAACGACGCCGACAACGACGACAGACAACGGACAAATTTTGATCAGAAAAGCTCACTTGAGCCTTTGGCTCAGGTGAGCTAAAAAAGTCTAACATTTCTAAAGTTTTGCTGAGCGGGCATGAAAAAATCAATGTTGGACCGGTCGATGAGATGTACGGCTTACATCACAGAATGGAGGGAGCTTAATCTCATTTTCATATGTTGATGTTTAACAGACGGACCTGATGTTACATCATGGAAGACAGTACGAAATATATATTTGTCAAAAAATAAATAAAATAAAATGAAAGGTATAACAAAACATTTATTGACTGAGTTTGTGGGCAAAATGTGCTTTGTCGGACCCTCAAACCAAACTGTTTGCCTTCGGCCTAATGGCCTCAGCCAGACAGTTTGGTTCTTGGGTATGACAAAACGCATGTTGCCCTCGAACTCAGTCAATAAATGTATATTATTTTATACCAGTGTCGTTGTGATTTACCTTTATTTGTCGTTTCATGGTTATCATAAACAAAATGATGAAGTACATGACTAAAATTGGCCAGAACACAGGAATATTTAGGGCCTCAAAAAAAGTGCATATCATCGCAATGACGATGGCTTTAGTTGTGCTATACCTACAATAAAACGGAACACCTAAATAAAGATATAAACCATGTAAAGATCTTAGCAATCTTTTCTGTGAAGACGAATCAAGCAGCATTCGTTATTTATCTTAGGACTTTCAAAATATTCTGATGATTTTTAAAAGTTCCAACATAAAATAATCAAGGCAAGATTTTTTACAACTTTATTAAAGGATGAAACCCATATTAAATATAACTACAGTGTGTTATTCAAAAAATGTATATGCAAGTATTTTATTAAATATATATCCTTATATTATAAAAGTACACTGCAGCTTCCAAACACTGATTTCATATTTCTGATTAAATTTTCTATGTTTCATTCCTTACAGGTTTGTTAACTAAATAAATAATGTTTTGCATTTGCAATGAGCTGATATCATTTACAAACTTCTGGAGAAAATGACTCAGATGGTTCACTCAAAATCTGTTGTTGTAATTCTGACTTACCAAAACTTAAATTCAGGTAACCTTCTCATAAAAGGTCTGAATTCTTCATTGGCTTTTGTAGGAAGTGATGGTCCATCCTCTGTAATGAACATACAGTTCCTCAATACAATGAAATTCAAAAAGGCTTATTTAAGACTACAACTGGTGGGTTCTGAAGCACTACAGTTTCCTTACAACATCGCCAATACTGGAATGCTTTGGAAAGTCAGTACATTATATATGTTTAAAAGTTTTATTGATTATTGATAACAGCTGATTAATGATTACAATTACGATTTCCCCATGTCTGCATGTGGATAAATGGATATTTTATATCATTGGAACATGTACATGTACCAAAATTCTCATCACTAACATCTCAAGTTTACAAAATTTACAGGTAAATTAATAAGATTTAAAAATAAAGAACTACTACAATTTGAAATAATGGAATACCATCATCATCTTGTTCCTGAAAGGCTGGGTCCACTTTGGGAGTTAAAAATGCTATGAATTGATTTAACAGATAAATCCCCAGGGCATATGTGACAATATACCAACCCTACAATAAAAGAAATACAAAGTTAGCCAAAATCCAAATATCTACAAAAAATAATGCTATATCAATGTTAAATGTGGATTGGTAAATGTAATTTAAAGATGAAATGAAATATTAGCTAATATTGAAAAAAAAAATAGAATTGTAAGATTATTTTCTTGTTTGAATAACATCTTGGGTCATGATTACTAAATTTGATGGAAAGAAAAACGTTTAAATAGTTTAAAATTTAATTTTTGTGGAGTATATCCATTCATTTGTTTCTTTATCCCATGAAATCTACAAAATTTAACTCCTTCCTTACTCAAAATTATAAATTTGAAGAACTGGGACCATAATGATAAAGTAATAAATTATAAGATGTTCTAGAATAAATACCTGTAAATAGTAAACTCGAAGTCCATATGCTAAAAATACAACAAGTGTGAAGACCCATCTAAAGGATGTGTATGGTGTAGCCTTGTCAAGAAGGTTCTGTTTTGTCTGTAACACAAAATTATGGTTTAAAAAAATATTTTTGCTACACAACAATTTTCAATGCACATATGTGTAACAGGAGAGGAGAAAACTGCAGCGAATCAGACTGGGTTTCGAATCCAGCCTGATAGCTCCATTAAGTAGAGCATCTGACTGGAAGTTCAGGGGCCAAGGGTCAGATCTGGTCTGATATGTCACGTTCTCCTCTCCCGTTACACATGTATTATATATCATTTGTATGTTATATTGAAAAATATTGATCTGCACAGTAGGAATATTCAAGAAATATTATATCATTTTTTCCAATACTATACCACATTTTTAATTATACAATTAAATCATGATAAGAAATGGTGTAATATACCTCTCCTACTCGTCTGAAAAATTGTTTTACAGCCCCAGGGGCGGAAGGTGACGAGCTCTCTCCTAAATCTGTCATTGTTAAATTTGTCAATCAACCTGTAAATAACATTAATTGTTAGCTGGTTAGTAAAGGTGGTCTCAATGAACAGAAAAACTGAAGGACACCATATCAAAGGAGTGGGGATATAACATATAACACTTTGAGGCAGATTTCTGATTATGTTTTCGGTGTATAAGAAAAAAACCCAAAACTATTTCATAGTGAAAGCCTTCAAAGGTACTGTACTATGACCCTCCTACTGTAAAAAAAATGGGACTTTTATGTTCCACTCATACAATATCATTCATATTTTCTGGAAGCAATAGTCATATCAAAGACCTTTCATTCTCTATTTAATTCAATGACTTTAATACCAAAATTCCATTACCCTGAAGTGACAATAGTTTATGACCTTTCAGTGCGATCCATATATCCATTAAATAGACTCACCTTCAATCGCTGCCTTGTTATTTTTATATCGTATTCTTTCTTCTTTTTGTTTTGTTAAGATTATTAGATTACTTCATTTACATATATGCCTAGATGTAAACATTCTTATGCATTTGTTTTTCGCCACGTCCAAGTTGGCCGGTTGTCTTGTGTACTTCCGGTGGAAACGAGATGAATATCCAAACCAATATGGATATGTATCCGGATAATTTGCATGCAAAGATAATGTACGGAAGCCCAGTAGCGCATGCATTTTTCAATATTCGCATTGAGGATATTCACAGTTAAAAATTACAAAAGCATATGAAATATTGTCAAGTTGAGGTGTTTGTTTGTGTTAATTTATGACATATTTATGGCCTGACCTTGAAGAAAATTCCTTTATTTACCCTCTCCCGACCGACTGACTAAAAATGGACCGACTCAAAACTTTTTTTAATTTTAATTAGGAAACAGTCACATCCCCCTTTATCCGTGAAAAATCGAATCCCGTCATCATCGTATTTATGTTGGTTGAAATTTTCTATGAAATAATATTCCCAAACTTCCTACCTATCCATTTTTTTCATCCTGAGTCGAAAGTGGGCAGCCAAACATTAATTTAAAGATGACCTCAATGTATTTTACTATTGGCTACTGTCATTTCGCCCAAAACTGGAACGCTCCGTGTAAGAACACCTGAAAGTCAATTCACGAGCACCCCGATATTATAAGACATCCCGAGGACCCGAAATAATTGAACATTTTATTTGGAAATGAAGTCTTCCAGCAATCTGTTGGAATTACCATGGGAACAAATTGTGCCTGTTAAAGGTTGGCATATTTTTTGTATATGAAACAGAGTCCCCCAAGATTTTTTTACATGAAAAGAAGTCTATTGCTGTGACCTTCAACTCAACATTTAAATATATCGACAACGTTTTATCATTTTTCATTTATGCGTTGATTTGATGTATTCTTTTGAACTCAAAATAAAAGATACCACAGAGTCCTTCACATTTGGTTCGTATTTGGATATCTTACATTTCATAATAAAGGTGATGACTTTTCTATCTTCAACCTCCCTTTTTTATGTAACAATAGACCACTATTAATTACATAAGGAGTTTACGTCTCCCTAGTTAAAAGAAGGTGCTACAAATACGTAAGAAACTGTTTAAAACGATACAAGCTATTGACAAAGAAGTTGATGATACTCAATGATACAAAAATATAAACAGTCTTGTTTAAAGTTAACATTTCAACAATTCCATGGTCAGTACAAAGATATTGTCAGCAAATTTTTTTTTTTGATTGACCCTTCTAATAAAAATCAAATCTTCACTGGCTCCTTTCTTTCGTGATTGTTGCACGACGATCAATTTTTTTCAAGAAGTAGTGAAGTTTTGATTTTAATCAGACTGGCTGACTGACGTATTTTATATTAAAAAAATGGCAAATTAGCCTTTAATATTTTCACACAAAATTGTCTACATGTTTTGATTTTTTCCTTTTTGTCTGATCATGACAAGGAACACCTGTCTACAGGAGATGATTACTTCTTCATGACACCTGGTCACACCCCTGAATTAATTAATAGTTATTAATTTTCAGAGGTTCATGTTTGCTCTGCTCCCGTTTTAAATGGTTTCAATGGACTCTTGAGTTTGATAAGAGCTTGTTATCTTCAAAATAAAATCAGTATAATTTGTACTTCATATAATATTTTTTTATTTAAATCTCATATTCATAGGAAAGTCGCGCTCTGTTTTTAAAACATATATAGCAAACTATTCTTTCATAATTAACCCCCCCCCACCCTCCTCTCTAAAATGAAAACCAAAGAACCGTAATTTTCAGTATATAAATGGTTAGCCCCGACTCAAAATTTCAAAATTATAGACAGAAAAACTAAAGACAAGACTGACTGATAAACACAGACACGGACTGCGTGATAGACAGACAAACTAACAGATAAGACTAACTGATACACAGAGAGACGGACTGCTTAATATACAGACTGGCCGATAGACAAACTAACAAGTGTGACTGAGGCACACAGAGATGGACTACCAGATAGACGGACAGACTGATAGACAAACTAACAGACAAGACTTACTGATATACACAGAGAAAAAAATACCCGATAGAAAAACTGATAGACAAACTTATAGACAAGTCTGACTAATATGAACAGAGAAAAACATTTATACTGTATTAAAACAACTTAGGTAGGACACCATAGATAGGCCAAATTTTTCCTCAAATTCAGTTTTTCTGAAACTTTGGTATTTTGTTCTAGGATACAAAATCTCTCTTTATATATTATATGGAAGAAATTCAACCATACATTTTTTGCCCACATAGTCTGAAATATGGCCTATCAGACCCCTGTAAGAAGATTGTGAAATCAGACGTTCGACTTGAAAATTAGTCTTATTTTAGAATTATCAATTGATCTATTGCAAATTTGTGTAGAGAAAATGGATGATTCAATTTTTACAAAAAATCAACAGAATGATTCAAATGGATCTTAGAATAAAATGTGTAAAAATAAAGAAAACTGAACTGGTGGTTTCAGATATTTTGGCGATTTAAAAAATTTCAATGGCAAAAAAAAAAACTAAGATTTAGTAGATGACGTCACAATATATGACCTTTAGATATGACCTTGACCTTGAATGGAGACTCCTTATATATGTGTCCAAATATCGGCCCTCTACTATTTATCGAACAAAAGTTACACTGCATTTTATAACAGACTGTTACTTGCTTGTTTATTGCACTTAGATAGGGTAAACACATTCCAAAATGTAAGCTCCCAAGTGACCAATATATAGGATTCTCTGATTTTTTCACAAAATATGATGCAAACCTGCCAAAACTTATTTTCTTACAGGGATCATTCATTGTTATCAATATAGTAATATTCTTCTTTTTTTCTCCAGTACTTTTTTAAGAAATGGGTTAAAATAGAATCCACGGGTGTTTTGTCCTACCTTAATCATCAGATATTGTAAACCAAGTTTTTCATGAGAAATATCTGCGAGGTTTGAGACCTACATCAACTCCTGAATACTAATAGCCATGAACCATTTATTTTGCTCTGTATTTGTAGAGAATATTTCCTCAGTCCTGAAAATCTTGCATACTGAATTTAAACTGAAAAATAGCAAATAAAAGATAACGCAAATAATAGTTGGTTTACAATATTTTCTTCATTTAACACAATGTTTTTTTTAAACATGTTCCTAGTTTAATCAAGTTGAATGTCATCTGAAATCTCCTGTCTGAAGTGTTCCTTATAATTATCATGTGTTGAGTTGTTGAACATCAAGTTGGTATAAATGAAATACATACAAGAAGGCAAATAGTTTTTTTTCCTTTTTATTAAAAATTTGTATTGTAATATGAAACATGACATTTGATAAACACACAACTAAGATGATCTGACAATGATACACACTCACACTTCAAATCACACATAGGAATGTCTACCCTACCACAGTCAAAACATACAGGTCGGTATTCTACCCTTCCTAGGTCAAAACAATAGAAGTTAACAACCCCCTAATGCACAAACAATGACAGTCCATTCTAACATTTAAATGCAGAATAATATCCCTCAATTGATAATACAGATAAGATATAGGGGCTAGATACTTGATTTCTGTATGATATGGAATATATACTTATATTAATGTATCACACTTTATATATCAAGAGTTGTCAATGACTTCATGTTTTAATTACATCATGAAATGTTCAACATCTTGGCACACAAAAACATATCACAATTCACACTGTTGATTAATTGATTCTATAAATATTGATATCAGTCACACCAGCGAGTGCTTCGCATTTGCTGAGGTTTATCCAGGCAGAAAATGCTGGATCGATAGTTTTACAATGAAATTTGGGAAGTGTTTGTCCGCGAAGCCAGGAGCCTGATAAATGAAGTGGAGACTTCTGAGTCATTACAGGAACTGCTGAGTTCCTCTCCAAGCCACAAGCAAACAAGAGGTTCTCCTCCTACCCCTCACTGCTCTGTTTTTAGCGTGGCTAATTCTCGTGTACTCAAACACTGGCAAACACACATTCAGTGAAATTAATGGCGGTCTATAAAAGCAGAAGCCCTCACTCCCCTCCCACCGTCACTTCTCGTGGTACGGTGTGAGAAATGTCGCCGTTCACCTGAGTGTGGTTACTAGGGAGACTAGTATCGTCCGAGAGTTCAGTAATTGTCAGAGAGTCTTTGGGTTTTTCCGTTTCCTCTGTTATTGCTGCCCCCTTCATGCTGACCTGCTGACGGAACTTCTCAATGTCTTCTTGGCTGAAATTTTCAAAAGAAACAATAATCACTGGGGCATCCATACATCTGTCTCAAAGATCCTTATACTTACACATTAAAACCTGTTTCTTCCCATACTTTATTAAACTTTCATTCAAGACTAAGTGGTGCAAAATATAAGATTATCACGTCAATTATCATTACAGCTACAGGATTACCTATTCATTTCTAGCAGTGATACTTGCATAAGCATTACTTTGGTCTATAATGCAAAGACCTTGGTATAATAAAATGATTTACTATTCCAGTCACCTGATTTGTACAAAGAGATATCATTGATGACATTAAGAGTGTCAAGTACGCTCGCTATGGAGGGAGAATTACCTGATTTGTACAAAGACGATGCCGTTGATGACATTTAGAGTGTCGAGCACGCTCGCTATAGAGGGAGTCTGAATGTGGAGGGGTGGTAAGGTTATACTCTTCTCTCCCTTGTAGATCTCGTTCATTTTCTTCTGAAACACGACGGCTTGTTGTGTCAGGTGTTTAAGGCATTCCGAGCTCTCCTTTGTTCTCTCATGTTCCTCTCCCAGCTAAAAAAAATATATACACAATAATCAGTCAAGCTCAATTTACACATCTCATTCCCTGATTTATCCTAATATTTACTCTTAAAGTTTATACAATAGTAATATTATAATTCACTCACCGTTTGTTTGTAGATGGCATAAGCCTCTTTTTCACTCTGTAGAGCCGCCCTGAAATCTCCACGGCAGGAATGAGTCCTAGCAACCAAGTGGTAGTTCATCGCAACCTTCATGCTTCTTTGACCAAAATATCTGAATAGAAAAAAAATACACTGACATTTTACTCTTTGTACATTTTTAACTGATA